GTCCCGGACGCCGCCCCGCTGCTCATGTCGCCACAGCTGCCGCCGCCTCTGCCACCGCCTGGGGGGAACCGGGCGGGAACCAGGGGGCGGACTACGCTAATGAGGCTACTGCATAGTCATGAGCTCTTGCCAGAAGGACTCGGGTCTCCGACACTTAAGGAGCGGGGAAGGCCAGGGGAAGGGCGGAGCTATGCTAATAAGGATAGGGAACGAAGTTTGCGGAACGGGGAATTCCGAGTAGGGCGGGGCTATGCTAATGAAGACCTGTGCTCTCCCTGAGCGGCGCCACGCGCTCTCCGCCCGCGGGCCGTCCGTGGGCGGGGATATGCTAATGAACATACTTCGGGCAGATGGACCGAACTCCCGTTCGGGGTGGGTCTATGCAAATAAAGGTTCCCGCAAAGAGTTTCTTCGAGGACCAGCCTCGAAGTCTTATTCTGGCAGGCGGGGCTGGCCGACTTGCGAACGGCCCTACAGCCCTATATAGGGCGCTCGAGGAAGGACTGGGTCTTGAGGAGAAGCTCCACCTCCATCCTGGGGTCATAGCCAAGCTCTCTAACTGGTGGTCTGAGCGAGAAGCTGGAGTCTCCACCCGCTGAAGGACCCAGGCTTCCGGTTCCCGCTGTCCCAGCCAAACGGAAGACAGGCTGGGAGGAGAGATGGGGCCCTGGAGGGGGACAGCAGGGTAATGGGGCAGGGAGGGGCCGTGAGATCACAGCATTCCTAATCCATGAGCCAGCTTGCCCAAGTCGGGACGCCCGGGTCATGAAAGGCCTGGGGCCAGAATTTCTGGTGTTTGAAGGAGGAAGCTGAGAGCCTGGATACTTAGGTCCCTAGGAAAACATAAGGTTGAAGACTTGGGCCCCTGAATCCTGGGGAGGAGGGAAGAGGGCCGGGTGGAGGCCTTACTATATGTAAGGTGTGAGCATAACACCTGGATAATTTGAGGGGCCAGGAGCTCAGAGGACCCGACTCGGGTCCCGAGAAAGACGACTCTAGAGTCCGAGGGACGAGGGAAATGCTACTCGAATTAGAGAATTCAGAATTCAGAAGAAGCTGCAAGGTCCAGCTCCCTTGTTCTAAATTTAGAGTCGACTGAGGGATCTAGATTCTGAGATCTCCAGAATGTAGGCGGGGCAATGTCCAGCAAGTCGTGCTCATTCCCCGAACTACAATTCCCTTGCAAATGTTCCGCTGAGCGCCTTTTTACATCACTTCCTGTTCAGTCGCCCTTTCCCGGCGCGCACGGTATTGTGGGACTTCACCGCGGACTACAGCAACCCCGCCCACTTAACCTCTCACTCCCTTGCTGTCCCCGTGCAACTGAGGCGGCGCACGGACTACGCCTCCCGGTGTGCATTGTGAGT